CTATCTGAATTGCATCTCATCAAATCAAGTAGCCGCGCCGCGACCGCGCTGAAGACCTTTAAGTGGAGGTTTGGGCTTTCATCTTTTGGATAAACTCTTCCTTTGTGAGACGTCGACCCTTGCCATCTTTGTTCATATTATAAGCCAGATCTATGATCTGTTGTAACCCCTCATCTGTTTTGTGTACTCTTTCCTTAAGCAGGTGACATACTTGAGAGAAAATCTCGAAGTACTCTTTCTTAACGGTGTGAAGAGGGTATTCAACAAAATGAGGAATAACGTGATTAATGAGTTTCTCCAAGTTTTCCACTTGAAACCTAGATGCTGCAGAAGGTAAATCATACACTGCCCCACAGTTAAAGTATTCGCTTAGTTCAGTTAAAACTTCTTTACAAGAAGACTCTTTAATAACAGTGAAGGAAGCAACAATTCGCCGATTGGCTTTAAAACTGATAAAGAAACTTCCGTCCCCATCTGTTATCCCCGATACAAAATGGGGATCAATAGGAGGTAGAGTTGGAAGAATAGGATTTTGAACACTTACCCCTAGTTCGAAGCCAATGGATTTAAGTAACGAAAGTTTTCGCTCCACTTTACGTTGTGAAACAAGGTTCATGTCGTAGCTAATCTCGATAATCTGGGCTAACCCTTCTGCTGTTAGATGTTTTTTAAGCTCCATCATTTCTACTACCTGCTTGAACTTTAGGTAAGAAATCAATTTACCGGATCTAACAGGATAGAGATCTAACAGAGGCAGAATCCTTTGCTTAATTTGAGGTAAAGAATTAACTACAATTTGTACCTCATTCTTACTGGTAATAAGATGACCTACTCCTAAATAGTTCATCAAATCCTTAAAGAATGATTTGGCACTAATATGTTGTGAGAGAATTAGTTTAGGTGTAACCCTGATACCCAATTTATTAGATTTGCTACGATCAATGGCAATATGGAAACCTCCATCGGATTGAACCAGCCCGCTAAAATAAGCTGGTGTTAATTCTGGCTTTGTAGAGTTTTGCATAATTATAACTATATATTTTGTAACTTCTTGGAATATAGTTATATTACGGGTGGTCGAAATTCAGATAGATTCATGACTAGTTGAAACATAAGAGTGTCGACGTGTTACGATTTAGATTTCTATCTCTAACGTCTCTCCTTTCGGATCAGTCGTTACGGGGTTAATAGTAAAGCCCTTCAGCTAGGGATTGTACTCTATTGAGTACAAGTGTTTCTACTGTTACTATAACTTCCCACGGTATTTCCATAGTCGGCTAGCTTCTAACTGAGATATATGAACATATATTCGCTTCCCTGTTAGAAAGTTGATAACCTTAGGATTCACCGTTATGAGTCGATATTGTGATTACTGTCACCAATAATCCGGGCGACTAATCACCCCTTGCCACAGCTCATCGGAGCCCCTTGCAACGGACCAATTTTTCCAATGGTTTCACATTGGTTTAGACTATACCTTCAACTTCTCACTAATCTTAGGTGTTACGATAATAGATTCACCCCTACCTTTACCCTCCCCGATAGACCGCCAT